TTATTAATATAAGAGGATTCTAAAATTTGCTGTCAGATTCTGAACACAAGAATTTTGACGTTGTTCTAATGTTAAATAAATTAATTTATACGGCATTCACATCTGTCGTTTCAATCCTAGTGATTGGCCTAGCAGGCTTCACAGTCAAAATATGCGGTTGACATGAGGTGGTTCCTTCTTCACCACCTCCAACTTTCATACCAGAAAGGGATTCAATAATGGCGTCCACTCCAAGGGAGTTGACACCTGCAGGCTTCATCGCGAAGTGCAGGTAGCAAAAACCTTTCACTCCCCTCCAGGTGATGTCAAAAGGCTTGACACCCCTTTCTGCCAAAGCAGACTTAATGTCACGCACTCTATCCGTCTTCGCGATGTTGCCCACCTTCACGCTAAATTCGATCTGGGGCTTTGTTCTACGCGTGCGCCTCTTTCGCAAATTATTGCGTCTGGATTGGCCATTCTCATTAGATACGTTCAATACGTCCAATACGTCGTTCTCCTCCTTCTCAGAAACACGTCGTCGTCTCAATCTACGGCCATTTCGTCTATGCTCTGATGCATCACCATCACCCTCATTCAGCTCGGATTCGCTATTCTTTGCTGACTTACGGGGCCTCCTTCTCTGTTGAGGTTTATTAGGGACTCTCACTTTCTCCACGCTTTCATTGTCAGTGTCTACCTCTCTTAACACGATCTGCTTTCCAGCGCTAAGATAAAAAATAATATGTAAACTAATAATTAGTAATTAACTAAAGTAATTAACTAAAGTAATAATAATATGTAAGATAAGAAATAATGATGTAAACTAATTATATATAAACACATGTATTCTAGCAAGCATTCATACATTAATTTTAAATACACTATTAAATACTTACGCTTCTTCCTCTTCTTTGATTTTTTTCAAGACATTTACAGTGTTTAAACGCCTTTCGGAGATCAAATTCCACATTATGTGAGTTGGCCGTGGTGGTCGTCCCGAGACCATGATTGTCTCAGTAGGTGTTATTATAATGTCAACTGGCACATCGTGAGCACCAAATAATGTGCTGGGCATATCGTCCTTCACCTGGCAGTCATGCACCAACGTGATAATAAGAGCATTCTGGTTTAGGGCTTTGGCATGCTGCACAATGGCAAATTCAAGATCTGTGTATCCGCGACCCTTACCAATTCGCAAGCCATTGCGAGACACTGCCACCGATCCAATGATCAGTAAGTCAATGTTGATGTCAGAGTTTAAATCAACAGTTGGAGCTTCATTTAATCCTTTACGAGTAATTGCACGGCGGACATGGTACTTGGAGTTGTTTTCAGGCATTACAATTTTGGTTAGTAACCCAGATTGTAGTCGAGGGACAGGGACTACTAATTGCTTACCTTCCTCCAATGCCAGTATTCTAACACATTCCATTGGCTTATCTGGATTTACTAAAACGGTCTTTGCTTGTTTGAAAACATCGAGTTCACTTAATCTCTGCGCGGCATCAAAGGCTCCCTTGTAGTTTGGGGTCCTATTAAAAACTGGACGTGGGAACAGTGAAAGCCGGTTCTCATCCAAGTATTTCCAGACACCTCTACGGATTACTTGCTTCGTCACCCCAGCTTCAGCTTCCTTTGCTTCCTCTGTAAAATCCATTCTAGATTTGTCCATTCTAATAATCGTCAAATTTCAATCAAGAAAAACTATCGCAAAAATTCGATTGCGTTTACAAAAACAACTCGACGAGATTTGATTTTATTTTGTTTGACGAAAAAGTCATCACTACTAGACTAGCATTTTTTTAATAAAAAAAAAAACAAATGCTTTCAAAATTCTAAATTGATAAATGACTTGTTTTTGAAGTTATATGTCTAATTTGACTTGCAAAATGTTGCATTAAATGTCCGAAATATAATCGTTCGAAATATAATCGTCGTTTGAAACGGCCATTTAAACCAAGACCGAGAGTATTGTTTATTGAAGTAAAACTTATAATGCGACTTCCAACAAAGTTTAATTAAACTGATAAATGAATTGATACTTTTATAGTTGTAATTATAATTTGATTTGCAAATGGTTAAGTTAAATTTTTGACATATAATATATGAAATTTATCATTTAACCCAGTGGTTTCCAACCTTGTTTGCACGGCGCCCCCGCTATCTGATATCAAATTATCAGATATTTTATAGAGATTTTAACAATAAGTATAAATTTTGTTTACATTCCTATGGGTTCCGTACCAATGTTTATCCGTTAGACAGCGACGCGGCGCTACGCGCTTCACATTTTGTCTCTATGCAGTTAAAGCAGTACGATTGCTTTGAAAAAAAAAGTTCAGATCTTCCAAAATATGTCAAAATAAAGAAAACTTTTTTATTCAAATTTTTTTTTTTTTATTTATTTTTTTTTAAATTTTTTTTCAAAAAAGTAATTTTTTGTCCAATTTATAGTTTCTCAAAAATCTTATTTTTTCGAAGTAATTTTTTTTCAAAAATGTTTTTAAAAAAATAATAATTTTTGGTACGGGAAGTTCCAGCAATTTGCCTTAAGGCACGATGCCTTAATTGCCTTAAGACAGAATTCCACTTACAGCTAGTTTTGTAATTAAATCACTTCTGATATTTTGAGAAATGTTTTCTGACCAGTGATTCCCAAAGTGGTCTGTATTTGACCCCCAGGGGTATGAAAACTTTCAGCGGGTCCATGTCAGCGAAAAAAAATTCGGGGTAGTGGATCACAATAGAAAGTGTTAATATCCATTTACTATCTTTAATAAAAAGTCATATAAAATATTTATAAATAGAACTAAAAAGTAAATAAAAATATTGTTCTGTTTTTATAAAAATGTGTAAGTTGTGTCATAAGTAGGCATTCGATTTGTGGTCGCAATATGGTTGAGAGCTTGTAAAGACCCAATTTGCCGACTATTATTAGCAATATTTGATTTGGCAATATTATTTGAGCTTTTTGAGACTGTCATAGTATTTCTGGATAATGAAGATAGAAAACGATTTAATAGTTGTAAAATATAGTGACTTCGTAACCAGGCCCGTGCCTGGCCAGCGTGCAGTGCAGTGCGTGCACGAGAGGCGGCCAAATAAAACTAGCTGTAAGTGGAATTCTGTCTTAAAGCAATTAAGGCATCGTGCCTTAAAGCAAATTGCTGGAACTTCCTGTACCAAAAATTATTATTTTTTTAAAAACGATTAACATTTTTGAAAAAAATTTACTTAAAAAAAATAAGATTTTTGATAAACTATAAATTGGGCAAAAAATAACTTTTTTGAAAAAAAAATGTTTTCTTTATTTTGACATATTTTGGAAGATCTGAACTTTTTTTCAAAGCAATCGTACTGCTTTAACTGCATGGAGACAAAATATAAAGCGCGTAAGCGTCGCGTCGCTGTCTAACGGATAAACATTGGTACGGAACCCATAGGAATGTAAACAAAATTTATACTTATTGTTAAAATCTCTATAAAATATCTGATAATTTGATGTGCATATGTCTAATGATCATTTTTGACCGCCAAATGGCATATTTTTTTACTTTTTTTGTTAGATCTCCGAAACCGCTAGACCTGCCTTATGAAAATTTGATCAATTCTTTATTTTATCAATACAAGTAAAATGTTTTTTGAATTATTAAAATCGGACGCTCCGTTCTCTTAAAAACTAGACCTGCCACCGCCAAAAACTAATCAGCACGTTTCCTTATCAATACGAATCGAATGTTTTTTGAATTATTCAAATTGCTTCATCCGTGTTCCCGAAATCGTCGACGAAAATTTGTATCCGCACACACATACATACACACACACAAAAATCCATTTTTTCTTCTATATAAACGAATCGAATGTTTTTTGAATTATTCAAATCGCTTCATCCGTGTTCCCGAAATCGTCGACGAAAATTTGTATCCGCACACACACACATACACACACACATACATCCATTTTTTCTAATGTATGCCAAAATATTCAGAAACCTCTGAAACGTAAAGATATATAAAAATTTTTATTTTCGATTTTTTTGCGATTACTATAACTTACCCTACGGAAAGTTAAAAATTTTCAATTTCGATTTGCGGCCCATTACAATAACTTACCCTACGGGAAGTTAATAAACAGTTGAAAATTTTGACTAAAATGCTAAATCTAAATTCTCAAGTCGATTAGTGACAAGTATCAGGAACTTGATGCAACTTACTTTTAGTTTTATTTCTTGTTAACTTTACGAAGCAAAAGTTTATGTTTTCGTCAAACAATTCAAATTTCGAAAATGGCTAATTTTATGTTTCTCGACGTTTCAAACCATTCTGAACCGAATGAGACCAAATTTGGAAAAAGTATGTGTGTGTTTGAACAGATTTTTGACCTTTTATCAACATTTTCTCATAAACGGTTGAGTCGATTTCAAAAATTTTAAAACTATTCGATGAAACTTGATGAGCACTCTCGTTAGTTAGATTTTTGATATGATCGGCTGAGCCGTTTCTTTGTAATTAGAAAAAAAATAATTTTGGACAAAGGTCGGCCTTTAAGACAGATTGCCACTTTCAATCAGATTATGAATGACATTGTTATTGAAACACGATACATCGCTTTAAATCTGTGTATTTCATTATATTTTGTTAGTACACAAACATCAATTTGAAATATTAAAAATATTAAAATCAACAAACGAAATTAATACTAATGTTAGTCACACACAAAATATCTTTACAATTGGACTTGTTATTCAGGAAAATGTTGACAATAATGTTAGTTTGTTCGCAAAAAATCCAAATTTATTTCAAATGAATAATTTTTAATATAATCAGAGATGTCTGATATTAATATGCTGTTTTATTAAAACATAGAATCAAAATTGAAGTAGGAAAAAACGTCTAAATGTACAAAACTATTGTTTACAAACCTCCACCACTTATTACAAATGATTAAAAATGAAAGCACACACAAAACAAAAGTGAAATTGGTAACTTTATGTAAAAAAACATTAATATGTTTTTATATTATTTCAATGTTAAGGACTCATTTTTGGCGGCTAATTTTGACTTCTCGATCACCCCAGTCAAAACGCATTTTGCCAGAAGATATGCTTTTTCACATGCATCTATATCTGAAAAAGTAAAAAAATATTGAAGTTTAATTTTATATAAGGTCTTATAATAGTAAAAGTATATACTATTTATTACTAAAGATTTTTAATAGTTGCTTTTTTGAACTTTGTTTTTAATGATCCATTAAAGCTCAAAAGCTAATCCATTTAATGTTTAAATATCTAATAAGATCTTGCAGATGTTGTTTTTATTATACAGCTTTTTTGGAAATCAAGAAAAGTGATTTTTATAAAACAACTAGAAACAGAAAACCTTTGAAAAAATGCTGAGAAAATTTACATATCCAAACCAAAAACAATCGATTTTTTGGATCCTTTTAATATATACTTAAACACAGTAATTTATTACACTAATTAACAATGACTGTTTTCTTATACACAAGAACTCGATAAAATCTTTTATTAATTGCAATTTTTGTTATCATATACCTTCTCTGTTCAAATCTTTATGGTTAGAGCAGTGTTCGACAACGTCCATCATCTTAGGTCCCAACATTTCATTGGCTTTGTTTTTCTGGAGTTTTCCTTCACCGTCCAAAATTTCGACTCCGGTCAAATAACATCGTATATAGCACTAAATTTATATAAAAAATAGTAATTAAACTTAATAAAGATGACTTTACTATTTATAGTATACGTTTTTCATATAATAATAACTTATTTATGTATTTCTTTGCTATGTAATGTTCTTATTATATTTGATACTTTGTACATACAAGGCTCATTTTTTGTTGATTTGTGACAAAATTATATTGTTTTCTACTGATGATCAGCAGATGAGAAAAACTTATAAAAATAAAAATAAACCCTTTGGTAAATATTTGTATTACTATATTCCTAAATGTCAGTAGCATCTATAAAGATGTCAAGAAATATTTTCTTCATAGTTTTATGGCTATAGGAACGATTGTGGTTGGTGTTCCACATATGGAACTAGGTGCCTTGTAGGGTTAACATATATGAAATATTTGTATATGAGAAACATTCTCAAATATTATGACATGGTGTGATTTAAAATCATATTCAAAGAAAGAAAATTAATTTGAGTGCACTAAAACTATTGCATTTTTAACACTTTCCGCTCGCGAATTCCAAGATATATATATAAATTTCGAGGCATCTGAGTCGAAAGGGTTAAATTTGTAGACTATTAGGTTACTTTGAATTAATTTTAAGTCAAATTTATTTAAAATTTACTAATGCATAATTTTGACAATCCATGGAGCAATTAGGGTTAAATCTATATCGAATAATAAATTTATAAATAATAAAAAGAAGAAAAAATTGCATATAGACTTAAAACTCAGACAACTATCATACACAAAACAAATCTCTAAATTAAAAAAAAATACATTTAAATTTTTATTCAATATGATTACAATAATTACTATTACCATTGCCTGTTTGTCTCCTTCGTCTGGTATGGAACCGGTGGTATTTAGATAATCTAAGGTATCTGAAAAAAAAAAATAAATTTAAACTTCACTTTCTTTGAATAAATATTTTTTATTGCCCGAAGGAAAAGTAAATGTTTCCTTTAAAAAATCCTGGCCAATTTTGTTTTCTAGACATTTCTAGTCATTCTAAATCGAATGAGACCAAATTTGAAAAAAGGATGTGTGTGTGCGTCCATATGAGCCGATTTTTCGATTTTTTCCACGTTTTTTGTTAACGGCTGAAGCGATTTCAATTATTTAAAAGCCATTTTATGTATCTCAATAAGGACTCGCGTTGATTAGTTTTGCACAATGATGGCCAAGCCGTTTCTTTGTAACTAGCAGAAAACTGAAAAAAAATTTCCTCCACATTTTATCCCACAATCCTGAATCGATTTTAAAACTTCAAAACTATTCGAAAGATAATAGTTGGAAATCGCGTTGAGTAGTTTTTGGTGAACATTTGCCGAACCGTTTCTTCATTAGTAACTTTTGAAACAAAAATCCATATTAAGCTTTTTTTTCATAGTCTTATAGAACCTTATATACTAAATATACTTAAATATTACAGTATTACGGCAAGTGATTCAATTTAAAAAAAAACATCAAAGTTCGAAAAAATGTACAGCGTTTTTTTGCCGCCAGACAAAATTAGACCTTTTATCGACTTTTTCTTAAAAACAGCTTAAAAGCCATTCGATGTAACTAAATCGCGTTGGTTAGATTTTAGATACGATCGGCTGAGCCGTTTCTTTAGAATTAGCAGAAAAGCGCAAAATTTTTCGCCAAAAATCCTGAATCAATTTTGAAAATCCAAAAAACTATTCAAAATATATGATTTTGGAAATTGATCTGATTAGTCTATGATAAAGATTTGCCAGGCCAATTCTTCGTAATTGATTGTTAAACAAATTTTTTTTCGACGATTTTAATGAAACTTTGTATGGCGATAGAGTACCTGGTCTTAATGAACATAGTAAAATATTATAGTCTTAAGAAAAGTGGTTTAATTATAAAAATTAATTCAAATTTCGATTTATCGGCCAAGTTTTTAGAAAATACCCTGTGTGTATCAGACACATGTTCGTTTTTCAATATTGTGTAATTATAAAATTCTTCAAATTTGAATAATCTGCAATAGTTACTGATACTGTGAAGAATCCCTCTAGTAACTCGGCATACTTATAAATCTCTCAAAAATTAATTTATTGATTAAGTCGATTATTCAAACATATTAGGAAGTCATGCAACTTGCCTTAATGAATGGCAAAATACGACTTAAACTACTAGTTTTATTTAATAGTTTGGATATAAAATTATTGGAAAAAGATTTTTGAGAATCTCAAATCTAGTTATATCAAATATAATAACTAAAATACTAAATTCTAATAACTTACCCAATTGTATATTATAAGTTTCGTTGCACTTTTGCATAACTTTTTCCCACTCGGTGTCGCCTTCTTTCATTTGTTCGGTTTCACTTTTGGTAGGAATCACATTGGCAAGCAAAAGAAATAGGAAAATTGTGAAAATGAAAATTTTCGAATTATAAATCATAATGGAATTTTTGGTATTTTATAATTTTAAGAATAATATTAATAATGTAGTAAGATTATACTCGCTGCTTGTTGTTGGTATACAGGTTTATATAGATTTTGAAAATTCAGTCGTCTATTGTGTTGATATAATTAGATATCGATATGCACAGAATCGTACTGACCGAATTTGTTGAAAATTAATAGAATTTTATTCCAAGGTACACACACACACACACACACACACACACACACACACACATATATATATATATATATATATATATATTCGCAGACCTGGCAAACTTTTGTAGTAGGAGGGTTAAAAATTTAGGACAGCTTGCAATTTTTAACTACATATTAAAAAATTGAAACCAAGAAAGTTCAAAAGAAGTTTCATGAGCAGGCAACTCTTACATTTTTTTTAAAGTTATATTTATAATATGAGCTTTGCCATAAGTTTTTAAGAAAATCTGATTGGCATTTCGATAAAAATTATTAACTGACGGAAAGTGTAATGAAAAATGATTGAATTAGTTAATTAATTAGAACAGGAGAGTGAAAATTTAGTATTATGTGTACTTTTCAATTACTCAGTATCAAAAAATTAATTTAAAAAAATATCAGAAATAATGTTAGGCGTGGATAAATGTTAATATTTTTTAAAGTAAAATTTAAGCTTTCTCATAACTTCAAGAAAATCTGAATTAAATTTATGTGAAAAACAATCATGGAGTGAAAGCTGGTGGAAAGTGATTCCATTAGAAAAGTGACTATTACTTAGGTGACCATACGTCCCGGTTTGCCCCGGACAATCCTGGATTTCCAACTTATGTCCCGTTTTTTTTTTTTGAAAGTATTATTTCTCGGATTTAGATATTATGTCCCGGATTGTCACGGGATTTCAAAAAGTACAGACTTAAATTGAATTTTTGCTTATATAATTTTGCATAATTCGGACGTCTTTTGCATAAATTTAAAAAAACTTAATCGAAATTCAGTGAAAAGCATTCCTTGACTGAAAACTGAATGAAATATTATTTGATTACTAAAATGACTATAACGAAATAGGGATTTGTGGTAGAAGGGTAAATATTTAGGGTTGTGTGTGTTTTTAATTACAAATTATATGAATGTAAAATAAAAAAGTATGTGCAAAAACATAAAAAAATCGCCCTGTAGGGATAGCCAACCTTTACACCTTAAGGGTATGAAAAATAGATGTTAGCCATACAAAATGTGATTAAATGATTCCATAGAAATTGGTCAAACCGTTTCGGAGTAGTACTGCTATTTTTTTTTGAACTTAATAAAAATCTTTTTTGAACCTAATATCAAATGATATGTACTTTGGTAATATATTGTGCTAATATCGCAAAAAGAATGAATAACAAAAAACATGATTATTAAAGTATCCAAAATGTGTGAATCACCTGTGTCTAGAATAAAAAAAACGATGTTTTTGCATTCTGAATAGAGAACCTTAATACGCACTTAGTATACTTTTCTAAAAAACATAATTATTTGACAAAATGAAGAACTGTTTAAATTTTTGCGAAGGCAGGTCTAGCAGTTTCAGAAATTTTGAAAATAAGTTCAACATTTCTAGAAAAATGCAAGTTATAAACAAAATTTAAAAAAAATAATTTTTTGAAATATAAAAAAAATATTTTTTTTAAAAAAGTCAAATCTTTTTCAAAAATTCTCAAAAATTTTTTTTTTCAAAGTTTTCAAAAAATTCAAAGGTTTTTCAACATTTTTTATTTTTGGTACGGGAAGTTCCAGCAATTTGCCTTAAGGCATGATGCCACGCACCACTAGTTTAAAATCTATTCGTTCCGGTTAAAGCCCTAACCTTTATTTAGGAGATTATTATTAAAAATTATGATAATAAATATTGCTATTATCTAACGTTAGGCATTATTGGATGGGGGGAGGCCCTAGAATTCTACGATTCCTCCTTTTGTTCATTCTTTCGTCCTTATTGGTGCCATTCGCTCTTCTTCTTTCCGAAGAACAAAAGTCAATAGAATAGAAATACAACAATAAACAATAGAAATCAAGAATATAAATTAGTATTTATTATGCAACCCTTTTGAATTCAATATTGTTTTTAATTTTTTTTAAATTTATTTATATATATATACATTATTTTCATATCTCAGACAGACAGAGGTGCCTGGTATGAGAGTTTATGAAAACAATATTCATATAAGTTCATATAAGTTTATATTGTATTACAAATTATAAAACTTATTTTTCTATTTCATTTCTGTTCTCGTATGTATGATTGACTTTATTATATCAATTTGTCAGAATTAACGTTGTAACTGTCACGTGCAATTTCTATATAATGCACAATAAAATAAAATAATTAGATTAAAAACGGATATATAAACATAATTTAATCTGACAATGTATACGGTAAAATCTGTCATATGATGCATGTTGGAAAAATACCAATAAAATTAGGATCGGCTAATTTATAATACGATGAGTTGAAATACCAATGATTTAAAATTTTATGGCCGATAATTCTAATATGCCTTGTGGATTTGGTATTTGTTGTATCTATAGGCATATACAGCACCTATAATATAATTCCAGAAATCTATTCAAATAAGGACTTGTATCGATTTATTGATAAATACAAAAATTAAAATCAGAAAAAAAGAGTGCGCGTAAGGTTCACACGCGATTAAAGTAAAACTTATTTGCTACTGTACAAGATGGCATTTAAGTAAAAATAAATAAACCATATAACAACTTTGAATAATGTTTATTATTAATATGGTAACACTCGTGATGCACATATTTATTAGTGCCAACCATTATACACATTTATATAATGATAAATTATAAATTATATAATCATAATATCAATAAAAATATGTATAATATTTAAAAACAATAATGTAATTAAAGTCATACTTCAAATATGACATGATCGGTTTGTCATTGTAATTAACATTTATAAAAAAACCTTCTTTAGAGGAATGAAGTAATTGCTAATTAATAAATTCTATAATATTCGTTCACACAGTGGATTACGTTAAACAACGCCTAAACAAATATTGTTTTCGCTACTTCACTCATCATGTAATAATTGTGTTTGAAGAACTTCATGTAATTAAAATTAACATACATTCATTGACTGCTTGTATTTTTTTTTACTTTTTCGCTGGCTAAATAATCTCATTCTTTGAACAGCTGTAATTTCTATCTTGCCTATAAAAATATTTTCCATTTTAATAAAGTCATAGATTTATAGAAACTACGAATAATATAGAAATAATTTCTAATCAATAAACTTACGTTTAGTGCACGGCACAAATTTTTAATTTGTTTTGTTATTTTCAAGGAACAGGGTAAAATGTTCTTCTGATTCAGACATTTTTCATTAAATCAAGATTTGTACTACTTGCATTTGTACGAATTTACATCCTAGTCGCGCCTAAAGAAGTTTTACTTCAAAAACAGCCAATATAAATCATTGATTACTCGTATTTGCTTTTTCCTACTCACGATGTGAGATCTCCAGTTTAGTTTTGACTCAATGTCCATATATTTCACACTAATGTAGAGAGAAAAATGTTGACTTGTTAAATTGTAGAGTTGCAATATCTTTCTGATTTCGTAAGTATTCAAAAAAAATCGTTGCAAAGTTCGATGATGGATGGATGCTTATAAAAATATAACATATTACCTCATTATAATGAATTTGCACTTGCACAGAATATAATGTGCAAAATGCATTAACAATGCGCCGTAAAATCTATTTGATTACCAGAATATTATCGGACAAGGTTCATGTGTGTCCCCATTGCATTCGTATCGCCACATTTAATCGGGGGCACCCAACTGTTGAAACGTTTACTCATTGGCGCATTGACGCCCTTGGAGAAGGTTTTACAGGAAAAACAAATATTAGAATAACCAAATATTGTCTGCAAGTGGGATTTTATTTATAGAGACTGATATTATAACCTTCTATTTTGTGTAATAAGAGCATATTTTCATAATAATAATAATTCTTCCTTATTTGGAATTATGACATCTTTGGTGGTTTTAATTGAATTTCTAGGTTTGCTGATATAGTCAATTTGTAAAATACTTTTTGTTATTGGAAAGTAGGAAGTTCAACTGCCAATCAGAACAAAGATTTTTTGATCGCTTGTAATGAATCCAAAGATTGTTTTTTTTTTAATTTCCAAAGGAGAAGTTTATTTTTATTGGATAATCGAATTTGCTGATTTTATGTGTTCCCGGCGTTTCAAAGCATTTGATACTGAAATTGGGAACGTATTTGTGTGTAATCCAAAATTTGACCTTCAGTCGACGTTTTCTCAAAAACGGTTGCTCTTATTTCAAGTTTTTTATTATATATATATATATTTTAGATCTATTACATGTTTTATAAGCTATATTAAATTTACTAGCTGCTTTTCACTAAAAATAGCAATCTATTAATTATCCTTACTATCTGAGATATTGTTTTGTTCTTAATAGTAAACTCTATTTGATGGCAACCACACGGTCGCTTTTTTAATTGGCACATTGCAGCAATACTCTAAAGGGCTATTTTCACTTGGAAACATATTCAGATCATATATTCAAATGAAAACTGATATTACAACTGCTTGATATCAGACTGTCCGAGGTGGGATTTGAGTTTGGAAACTTTTGCTTGCAATCTTTTACAACTGAGCCTCAAACAAGCTTAAATACCAGCAGTTTGCTTCAAGGCACAATTTTGTGTATCACTAGATATTATTTGAATGCAAACATGTTGCTATCTTAGAAACATATTATCAAGTAAAAATCGAAATACGTTTGGCTGTACGAGCTACTATCACTAATAAATACTATTACTATCATACTACTATTTGGAAGATATCAATTGGAAAATATACTGATTAGTTTCCTTAAAGATCGGCAGGGCCATTCCTTCGTAATTATTGAATACATTTTTGACGATTTTAATGAAATATTGGACAGTGATAGTATTTATAAACTTGATGGACATTTTAAATCACTTTTCGTAGCTTATAATATTTTAGAATCTAAAAATTATAAGGCTACGAAGAGTAATTTTTTTATGAAAAAATATATATTATATTAGTAACAATCTTAAGTGAGGCTAGTTTTATATTCTTATTGATTAAGTCGATTATTTCCTTAAGGCAAAATGCCACTTACACCTAGTTATTATTATTATTTGAACAATTTTAGGAATTATTACCTTCCCGTAGTAAGTTATAGCAATGGGCCAAATATCAAAATGAAAATTTTAACATTTCTTCACGTTTTGAAGGTTTCTGAACATTTTGGCCCATGTGTGTGTGTGTGTTTTGTGTGTCCGCATTTTTGCGTCCATGTTTTCGGGCGCACTGATCAACCGATTTGAATGGTTCAAAAACCATTCGATTTCAATTCATAGGGAGATGTGTTGATTAGTTTTTGGCAAAGGCAGGTCTACGGAGCAAAGAACGCAGAAAATAGAAATCTAGTTTTGAGTAAATGGAGTATCTGATTTGAATGAACTCAAAAACATTCAATTAGTAATAATTGGGAGAAGTGGTGATTAGTTTTTGGCAAAGGCAGGTCTGGCCGTTTCGGAGATACGGAGCTATATGTGCGAAAAATTGCAGTTTTTGAGAGAACTAAGCATTCGATTTGAATAATTCAAAAAAATTTTTGTTTGTGCTGACAAAAGAATTGTTTTTGAAAAAAAACTTTTTTAGTTAAAAATTATTTTTTTTTCAAAATATTTTTTTTTTGTAAATTGAAAATAATTCATATTTTAATTTTAATTCTGGCTAAAGTCCTAAAGCTCACTTATATTCTTTAAAAAATTAATTTCAACTTTGTAATTCAGTTTATATAATTGTTGTAAATATTAGAAAATGTTACAGTATTTATAATAATCTATTTGAAAACATTTAATGTTTTTCGAACATTTTGTTACGGTACGGAAAGTTTCAGCAATTTGCCTTAAGGCACGATGCCATACATCACAAGTTTTCAGTGTTTTATGAGCTATTGTGATGTATTCTCTACTATCTAGCTTATTTAAAGACAACCCAATGGCTGTCCATTCACTTTGTGATACAATGTTTAATTTACTTTATATTTAAACTTTAACTCAAACCTCTGTAATTGCAAGGCCAAATACCTTGATTCTATACCACGAACACCCCTGAAAAATTTACGTTCGAACAATAAAAAATTATGTACGCCCATGCACTGATAAGAAAAAAATACAGACAGTAGGTAAATTAGTCACCTTATTTGAATTTAATTAATAATAACACGATTATTTCTCACAAAACGAGTGCAAGTTTGTGCACTTTATCATAATTTTATGATATTTATATTTTTTGACCTCATTTTTTGTGTTTTATATTTTTATTTGCAAAATATAATATGCATTTTTTATGCACATCGCTTTGTATAAAAGACGATGCAAAATTTTTATGAAGCATATTAACTCATCAGTTCTGTTTCTGTAGAGTAAATAAATAATAATAAAAGTAATAAAATAATAAAAGAAATAAATTAGAATGAAGAACTTAGTTGTGTTCAGTTTTTGCCTGATGGTCATTGCTTTTGGTAAGAATTACTTGATTTGGATTTTAACTCTTCAACCTAATTTATCAATTGGTTTATGAAGTATACTGATGGTTTGAAACTTTTTAATAGCCGAACCTATATGTATATTTTTAACTTACTAGATTTTTAACAAAAAACAATAATTTTTCTGTAGTTGTTTGTTTCATGATATTACAAAGTCTTCGACGCTGTACATAAATTCACAAAAAATGTTTATTTGTGATCATGTTGAATTTGTATTTTTTTCGATACGCAAGAATTCATTTTATATTTATAATAAAAACTACAATAAATTATATATGTATTCGTCGTATTCGTATTATTCTAGATGCCACCATTGGCAGTCCAGTTCCCCAAAACTGGGAGATTCCAAACACAAATTTCTCCATACCGAGTCCTCCAGGAATCGATTTCGGAAACTACGTTAACGGATTCAACCCCAACAATTTCAGTATTCCGAACCAGCAGATCATAACAGATTATTTCCCAGGAGGCTTTTCTAACTTCACTGGAAATTTTCCTACTTTTCCAGAAGGAATACCAACTGGCATGCCTACTGGACTTCCCAGTTTCCCTACCGGAATGCCTAACTTTCCTAGCGGAATACCGAATTTTCCTTCTGGAATACCAAGCTTTCCTACTGGAATGCCAAATTTTCCTACAGGAATACCAAACTTCCCATCCGGAATTCCTAATTTTCCCACTGGAAACATCCCAAATGTTCCAGGATTACCACCAATTCCAACAAATATAAATATCAATAACTAAACCAGGAATTTTAGACACACTGTTATTATGCAAATTATTGATGATATATTGAATCTGGTTAAGTATTTTTGTTTAAGTTGATTGGATTTATTTTTGTATTGCATTTATATTTTTGTTTAATTGGTTTGAAACACATACCTCTAAAATGTAATGGATTTTTTTTTAAATTGCTTTACTTTTAATATAATATGAAATATATATATATATATATATATATATATATATGTTACTTGTATTAGACTTAATATTGTTACGTTCTTTATTTATTTAATTATATAATAAATATCTATCCCAATTATTTGGTTTTTGTTCATAATTGCATCGACTGATTTGGCTGTGTACAAAAATGTATTATTAGACTACAGAGTAGTGAATTGATTTTTTTTAAATTAAACTATTCGGCGTAGACTAATAATATTTTAATATATCATATTGTTTAAGACCATAATCTCTATCATCAAAAAAATACATCAAAACCAAAAACTTATCACAGTCTTTGAAATTTTAAAATCGAACAGGTATTTTGGGTTGAAACTTGGTCGAAAATTTTTCTACATTTTAGCAATAATCACGTGATCGCTTTTTAAGAATTTTTGGACACCTCTCTCCCCCGTGGTGATATTTAAAATGATCCCTTCTCCTTCACCAAACACCATGTGTATTTTTAGTACCCAGAAAATCGTATTTTTTTTTCAAATATTAAAAAAAAATGTATTTTTGTTAACGTGATCATTCATAATTTTTGTTCAAACTTACCTTCTCCCTTCAAGCCTCAGGTGATTATTAGACGCTTTCTAATGGCAAAAACGGCTTGACCGATTATGGCGAAAACCTAGTCAAGGAGAGACCTTGAAGAGTTTCATCGATAGTCTATTAAATTTTTAAAATCGGTGCAGCGGTTTTTGAGAAAACGTCGACAAGAGGTTAAATTATAACTCACATACTGTTACATATACTTTTTCTAATTTTGGTGTCGAACTGTATAGATAGTCCAATAATTATAGTAAGTTTACCTCGGAATTCGAGATACCCAGCTGTAAGTCTGTAAACACTTGTATATTGACACCTAAAAGTTGTCTCAAAACCTACATATGTTGCGTACACCCTACCATATGCAGGTTTTGAAACAGCTGTTAGGGTGTCAATATACAGTATTTTCAGACTTACAGCTGGGTATCTCGAATTTCGAGATTCTTACCTAATTTAAGCTTAAATGACTGGACTAAGAATGACTTTGAAACTTTGACGAAATATAAAAGATGCAAGTTGGATTTTCTGAATGAAATAAAGTTTTTCTGGATAAACATAAAGATTTTGTAAGAAAAGTTGAAATTAATTCAAATTGTGCAAAATAATTGGTGCATTATATGAAACTCATCATAAATATCAACCTTTATTTGCTTTGAATGGGGTCAAAAACCAAATTTCTGGGCTAATTCTGCAGAAAAATAGACTAAAGTGATGACATGTTATGTAACATTTCAGTTTTTATACAAAATGCTACTAAATACTGTCAAAATGCCATGTATTTGCTATGCATTCTGGCGTTTTACACATAAACTGCAACGTCATTCGTATGTTATGAAGCTGAGTCAGGAAGACCCTGTTATCTAAGATAGTTTCTAGGTTGTTTTCTATATGACTACTGTTTATACTCAATACTATCAAAATGTCATGTATTTGCTGTGCATTCAGGCGTTTTACACGTGAACTGCAACGTCACTTGTATGTTATGAAGTTGGGTCAGAAAAACCCTGTTATCTAACACCGTTTTTTGGCATTTGTGCGGTTTTTAGGTTAGGTTTTCTATCTGACAACCTGAGAAAAACGCCTGACTGCACATCAACTGCATGGTTTTTGTCAATTAGAACGATTTTGTATGGAAAGTTCTTCATAACATAGTCTTGCCATAACATAGGCAGAATTGGCTTCTTAATCTTTTTTGCATTTAATATAATTATTTTCTGGACTTATGAATTATTAGCCTTTGAACCAAATTTAATCATTTTGTCGACCCATTTTTCTGATTAAACTTTAATGATTTACACTTATATTATTTAATAGTATATTTTATTCACTTATAATATACAGACATAGTACAAAATCCTATAAACTATTCGTCGTAAACCAATTCTAAATAACAAAACTAAAATAAACATTAATTACTTAAAAACAATATAAATATTTATTAGACATAACAGGGTAATAAATTATTAGAGGTAAAGATGTTTTAGCTAATAAAAATTAATCAAATTTTTCTATTGATAATTTAAACAAAAATATGCGAATAACATGGATTCAAATTGTTTATAAATTTATTTCCAAATTAGTATTTAATAAAAATCGTTTTTTTTATTCGACGTAACATGGCAAAATATTTTACAGACTTTTTAAGAATTAAAATAACTTAAATTAAATTTAGCTCAACGACAAATCAACAAGATTTAAATTTATTTTTTTTAGAATATTACTAACTTATTACTAAAAGTACTTAAAGAATAAAATTGGAAATAATTCTTCTATTCAACTTTCTCTTATAGTAGTTACAACATTTTAAACTTAAGCCTAAAGGAATGTATTTGGTTCGGACGGATTTTAAAAACTAAAGTTTTTATGTATTAAAATATATAATTAGCAATGAACAAATTATGATCAAAACCAAAATACATTATTCACTTAGTCAATAAAATATTTAGAATTTCTGAAACACTAAGTATCAAAATAGTTGTCATTTTAAACTGATGAACTTATTCTCAGAATAAGTAACTTATTAAAATATGAAATTAAAATATTATTTGCTTGTTGACAATTTTTTTGGCAAAAATACATTTTTATCAACAACTGCAAAATCCGAGAATGTGTTCATTAGTTTTTGCTTGATATTTAATTTTGAAGATTTTTGATTTTAAATACAGTCTAACCTCGGTATAAAAAAAGTAAATTAAAAGACGTTATATTGGACGTCGAATTTGTTTATATTTCTACGTTTTTTTCTTACCAAATGTTGAAACACGTATGATCCTCAAAGCGTACAATTTGAAATAGGATAGGGCGGGGCGCAAAGGTCCAACTTGACTTTTGTCAATTATACTTTGAAAACTAAACCAACTACAAAAACAAAAAACTCATATCAAACAAACAACTATCTAACTGTGCTCAGTAAAATTCCCAACTAATTCGTCATTGTGAAACCCCATATTTCAACCCCATAGGCGGGGTAAAAAGCGACATCCAAGGCGTAAACAGTTCCAATGTCTTATTTTCAATTTTTAAGAAATTTCGCGAAATAATAGCTACATTATTCAACCAATGCAAAATATTAATTCTATGAGTACAACCTTGATCTGGTATATTGTCAGATATACTTATCAGCAAAGTTTGAATAACTATTTATTTAACTTATATTTTGCAAAATTGCTTTTTTTGAACTTAATTTACTTTTTTATTTATTATTTTTTACTGTTTACACCTTTGCCAGGGTAAAGGTTCAGTTTTTTTTTTTACCCCACCCAAATGTAAGCTTTTATAAAGGTGATTCAAAAAAGTGGTTAAATCTAATTTATTACAAAACATCTTAAGAAACAATTAAATAAGCTTACTTGAAAATTATCTTAAGGTCTCGTAAACTAAACAACAGTGCTCAAAACTACAAAAGCTACTTATACAGACTTGATACGGATTTGATTTAAATTATTAAGTTAAATCAAACGTTATACATATCTGAATATTACCAGATATAAAATTTTAAGCGAATTAAGTACTTTTCAGAAATTAAAATCGTACTTTAACCCTTTCCACTCGGATGCCGCCGCTCCGACACCAAAATACATATAAATCTCGCAATTCGCGAGTGGAAATGGTTAAATTAATTTTGCATATTGTCATATAAAGGTTTCCATCAATAGGTATTCGTAATCAAAATATGTTCTTTCTATGAATTTCGTTGATCAAATATAGAAACTTATTAAATTTGTGTTTTCCAATTGAGGTTAGACTGCAATTTGTGAATTTAAATTATTATTTAAAATTACATTCCTCCCCATTCCAAACGTATCATGTGCGCAGCTTTTTCACCGATCATGAAAACTGGAGCGTTCGTGTTGCCTGATGTAACACTTGGCATTATGCTGGCGTCGGCAACCCTCAGTCCTCGTACTCCGTGAACCTAAGATAATAAATAAAACAATATATTAAATAGAGGCAAATAAAATCCATTATTTTTGGGTTTATTGGTTTAAAACTGTTTTATGGTCAATTTTTATCTCCAGGGCGATGTTACGACTTCTAACATGCCGGTCAACTTTGATCATTTCTCCGATTTTATCGACATTTTAGACGACCGGCCTACCTGTGCGAGGTGTATATTTAACATCAAAAAAATCTTGAACGGAATCTACAAAACCAAAATTGCACACAATTGATTATTACAGTATCGGAACCATAAACACCATTCACAATTTTAGCTGCCTGCCTTGCATTTTCGCCTTTGTCAAAAAAAATAAAATGTACAGAGTTTTTTATTTGTTCACTTCTATTTTTAACGCTCTGTAACTTACTACTGAATGCACCAAAGAAAAAACAGCAAATTATTTTTCTACTACAAAATGTCACCTTTCCAACGAGCAGTTACTACTACCAAATATAGTACCAACGAGCCATCTACCAAAAAAAATTTATTTTTTCTTAACCTATTATTAATTACATGCCTTTGACTTAATGTTTTTTATGTAACTACTCTATTACCTTTAATTCGTGGTCGACGACCGCTAAGGGGTCCGAAGCGGGACCCATTTTGCAAGAACCTGCTTGATGGTTCTCGGGTCCTGTGTTTCTCATGACGGCGCACTCCCAATATTCATCGCACCCAAAAGGCAATTTTTCGCAACCCTTCACAGGTGTCTCGTCGATTTGGAAACCGTAAGGTCTCAGGGCATCGGTTTGGGTCATTCTGTGACCAAATTTGATTCCTGTGGATAAGGGTAGGCCATATAAAATTTTGAAAAAAAAAGCTTGGTTGGAATAATGGAATACTAAATTTATTAAATAACAGTATATATCTAATGAAATATGTCAATCAATTACTGTACAAATGTTACCTTCTATAAGCGTCTTAAGATCTTTCTCTACGGCAAAGTAGTTTGCAAAAATCTTTGGAGGAGCTTTAGGATCTGGGGATCCAAGTCTCACTCGTCCTCTACTTTCTGGATGTAAAACTGAAGGGAATATATTTACAGTCCTTCTACCATCACTTAATTTTTCACCAACTTGACCAGTTTTTGCACAATCGGCCAAGAAACCAGCAAAGTACATTTGGACATCAGGATGATCAATTGAATGGTTTGCGAATTTTGTTTTGATCATACCAGTTACTTCGGATATACCTAGAAACAAATAATGATTTAAATTTAAAAATCAATAACATCGTATAAAAATATATTATTAATTTTATTCCTGTATCAGACATATCGACTTTGATCTACTCACCAGTTCCAGACATCAATCCATCTCTAAACAAGAGATACTCCATGGCAGTTGCCCAATTCAAAGGAGCACTATCGGTGTCATTGATGAAGTATTTTGTGAAATAGGTGACATGGTTGTGCAGATTTTCACCTACACCTGGCAAATCTACTGTGACTGGAACACCTACAGAATGAAGGTGACCAGCTGGACCTATACCACTTAGAAGTAGAATATGAGGAGAACTGACGGCACCTCCGCAGACAATTACTTCTTTGCGAGTTAACACTTGGCGTCTGTAACCCTGAAATAAAAAATAATAGTAAATGATGAGTGGTAAATGGAAGGTGATTGATTTTTAATAATTGGATACGAATGGCAAAAGAAATGCTAAACATTACTAGTAGAGTTTATCCTTCCATTGAATTGGAAACCTCGTCATTGATCTACCGCTTGAAAATGATTTTTGGACGAGTCATTTAGTTTCTTTTATTTAAATTTCTGAAAACAGTTTTGAATTGGAGTTTTACTTAGTCAGCCTTATGATGAATTAGTATCCCGTTATGAAAAACTTGTTCAAAATTGCTCTAAGGTCTTAAATCTAGTTATTCTCCCAACTTGCTGGTCTTGTGATTAAATTTTTATTTCTTCTCTAATCTATCAAATTTTTGTCCCGGTTTTTGTTATTCTGGTAGAATCATTTACCTGTGGATCTATAAATTCAACTCCATAAGCGATTTTGCTTCTAGGGTGTACCAACACTCTGCTGACAGTGGTGTTGAGCATGATGTGTAGATTTGGTCTGTCCTTTGCTGGACGCAGGAAGGCGCGTCCTGCACTCATTCTGCTTCCATTTCTTGATGTTGATTGGGCGATCATGAATCCTTCGTGGATTTCACCATTCAAATCACGAGCTACATAACCTGGATTAAGGAAATAGTTAGATATTTATACATGATTTCATAAATCGCTAATTCTTGTTCTGAATGAACCGATAAGGGACATCATTTTTTGGACAACATTATCAAGAGTCGTTGTTATTGTTTGAATCTTTGTTAGGAGTCGTTAGTGATCGATTGGAACAATTATTTTTGAAACTGATAAATAATAAATTATTTAGAGACAATGGAATCATTTTTTACATTTAAACAAAAACTAGTATGCTGATTTTTTACATTTCAATAAATTTCATTTACCCATTTCTTGCGCAGCCTTTAAGATAGCTAGAGAGAGTGGTGGATGGTAAGGAAAGTGAGAAACTGAAAGTGGGCCTCCAACGCCATGATATCCTGGATCCATTTGCTCTGGCTGCAAAAAAAAAACGATAATAAATTACTAATAATCAGTATTATTTTTCATCTGCGAGTCTTAAATAAATATAATATTATAATGGTTAAATAAAGATGGTAGTTAAATATGGTGAATGCGATGGTACAACCCAATGGTCGCACCAGGATCTTTTTGTCTTAAACTATTTTTATTATTTTTCAGAGAAATCTGTAACACTGCAAATGCTTTTGAAATTGTGAAGTTTTCGATTGTTTTCCATCATGATATAAAAAATACTATAAATAATAATAAAACAAAACTAGATTAGGTGTTCCAGTTTTCGCAAAGTTTTATAGTAGTACATTGGAACATTGTTTTAAAAGGGCGCTAAAATTTACATAATTTGAAAAAAATACGTACTAAAAAGTGTAAAATTATTATTTCCAAATAATCAAAATGAAATAAAATTTAAGTTTGTGTTTTAAATGTACGTAAAAGTAAAAATTGATACTTCAATGTCTTTAGTTATCTTCAAATTCGTAACAAACATTAAGTCAAAACCATGCAGAAATTCATTAAGATTTTTGGTGTTTATATAGTTGCTATGATTTTTTTTTTTTAATGAGTATAACTTTCAACCTTGTGCAAGAGTTTTGAGCTTGACTGGTGGTCAAATATACTTCAATATGATGAACTTGATGATGAACAATGTATTTAATGTTCGAATGCTTTTTTTCAGCTCTCTTTTCAGAAGCGAAGTTTGTGCAATTACTATGATTATTATAAAATTACTATCCTTTTAATATTAATTATGAATAAGTTTGACAAGAGCCTGAAATAATATCTATTAATAGTGATTACGGCTTGCTTATAAATAAAAAAATAAATAAATAAATCAATAAAAACACATACTGGATTATCACATAATTATATAGATTTCAACTAAAAATGTATTTGCTACAAAATATTATGAAGCAATTTAATATCAAATTACATTAGAGAATGTTCACTATAGAGTTACATAGAACAGTCACAATTCACATTTTGCCATCGTTCAGAATTTTATTATATCTAAAATAATTCATATAATATACCTGTTTATTATCTTCTGATTTGATAAAATATGGAAGGATTTCATCAAAGGACCAACCCGGATTTCCAGCTTGTGCCCAATTATCATAATCCTGTTTTGATCCTCTCATATACATCATGCCATTGAAGACTGATGTACCACCCAGGACCTAAGTAAAAATAAATGTCTTTAATTTATTTATAAGAAATAAACATGATCGATTTTTAATAATTTGGTACGGAATGGCGAAAGAAATGCTAAAAAATGAACAACATGCCATAAAATTATTTATTGTATTAAGAGGCTTAGGATTTTCAACAAGTGTTTTATTTATATCTCAGATTATCAACTAGTTTTCTTTAATTTAATATCCATTAGGTATTAACGAGCAGTTATAGTAAATATTTTAGTTGTGAAAAATGTATCCTAATACTTATGAAAATATCTGTTGAAATTATTGAAATCGGACGCTTTGTTCTCTCTAAAACTAAATTATCATTTTTGGCACTTTTTGCCCCGTATCTTTGAAACGGCTAGACCTGCTTTGTCCAAAAACTATTCAGCACGTCTTTTTATCAATAGGAATCGAATGTTTTTTGAATCATTCAAATCGGTTGAACCGTGTTCCCGAAATCCTCGACGAAAATTTGTATCCGAACACACACACAAACACACATACACACCACACACACACATCTATTTTTTCTAAGGTATGCCAAAATGTTCAAAAACTTCTGAAACGCAAACATATATAAAAATTTTTATTTTCTATTTTTTTACAATTTTTATAACTTACCCTACGGTAAGTTAATAAAAATATGTGGGCCAATTCTACCGTAAAATAGACCAATGTTATAGCAAGGCTTTGTTACGTTCCAGTTTTTATACAAAATGGTACTGAATACTGTCAAAATGCTATGTATTTGCTGTGCGATCAGGCATTTTACGTATGAAATGCAACTTCACTCATATGTTATCAAGCTATATCTAAAAGATGCAATTATTTTAAAATTGTTTTTTTGATATTTGTGCGTTTTCCATCTTAGGTTTTGTATCTAAAACGCCTGACTACATTGACAGTTTTTAGTACCACTTTATATGAAAACTGCTACATATCATAGCCTTGCCATAACATTGGTCTATTACACATCAGAATCGGCTCCGTAGTCTGTATAAATCGGTATGAGTAGACTTACGTATCTTCTACTTATTTACAAAATTTTGAATAGTATTTATTATTTTATTATTCGATTTACCTTTCCTCTCGGCCAATAACACCTTTGTCCATCCTGGTTCAAACAGGCTCTAGGTTCTGGTTCAGTCAGGAAACCGTAGTCAATTTCCGAGCCGATGAAATTTAAAAACATAGATGGTACTTGTGCTCCGGTTGGTTCATCGCCACCTTAATAATAATAATAGTAATATTACAAAATATATTTAACACAAAAAAAAATTAAATTCAGTACTAGTATTTTACCTGCTTCTATCAATAAAACTTTGAAATGCGGAACTTCTGATAATCTGGAAGCGACTACTGATCCTCCAGTGCCTGATCCGACTACTATAAAGTCGTATTCAGGATCAGGATACAATCTGTCCTGTAAAATAGAAAATGAAATTTTAAGGTTGATATTTATAATGAACTTGTGATTTTTGTATTATTGGTAAAGTAAAACTTTACCAACACATAATAATTTTGTTTGAAGAATTATTATTAACATTTTTCAAATATTAGTAGTTCTATCTTTAAATTATTTTTTATTGCAGGAATTCTTATTAAATCAATGGAAACAATTAGTTGTAAGTAGCATTTTGCCTTAAGACAAATCAATGAACTTAATCAATAAGAATTGATATTCAATTATTTAGGTAAAATGTTCAACTGTTTAATTCCAAAATTAAATTTTCGCTTTCACTAAAAATTAATCAATGCAATTTTTTTATGTCTTTCAAACATACTAATAATATCTCTAAATGTATAAATTAATTTGTTTCATTTTTCAAATTTGTTTAACTAATTTTATTTCATTCATTTCTTGTTCTATAAATGTATTTTATTTTTTCACGTGTGTACGTCAACTGTTATCAGTAGCTGTCTTACGAAACACTGAAAAATATACAAATGCTTCGGAATAGATTCGCTGTCACTGAAGCATGCAGTAAAATTCTAAATTTAGTTAAATTTCATAATATAAGCGCTTTAGACCTATATCATTTTTGAACCTTATTAAAGACAAATTTTTCGTCATTCAAAGTTTTATCAAAATCGCCAAATTTTGTTTTTCAACTTTTAATTAAGAAAACATTTTGATAAGTGCCGAATTCCAGAGACGAACTTTACCAAAACTAATTCCAACCAATATCATTCGAACAGTTTTTAATTTTTTGAAATCGAATCAAGATTGTGGTCTAAAACGTGGACGAAAGATTTTACGCTTTTCTGCCAATTACAAAGAAACGACTCAACCGATCGTGGCAAAAATCTGACCATCGATGGTCCTTATCAAAATACATCGTATGACTTTTAAATTTTTGAAATCGGTCCAGCCGTTTTGGAGAAAACGTCGACAAAAGATAAAAAATTTGCTTACATATGCATACATACTTCTTTTAAAATTGGTCTCATTCGATTCAGAATGACTTGAAACGCCGAGAAAACATACTATAAGCAAGTTGTATTTTCTGAAAAATACCCAACTTTTTTGGAAAGTTAAAAACCATACATCTTATTATTAATCATATTTTATCATATTATTAATTTCTTCGGTACGATACGAATATAGACAATCTTTCACTTTTCTGTTAATTACAAAGAAACGGCTTGGGTGATCGTCGCACAAAACTTAACGAACGCTAGTCCTTAACGGGATACATCGAATGGTTTTTAAATTTTTGAAATCGGTCCAGCCGTTTTTGAGAAATCTTCGACGAAAGGTCAATAATCGACTCATATACACACAAATTTGGTCTCATGCGATTCAGAATGACATGAAACGTCGAGAAAACATAGTATAAGCAAGTCAGATTTTCTCGAAAAAACTTGAAAATTTATAAATCATATATCTTGAGTTGATATTAATAACATTTTATCAAAAGAAATTTAAAAAAATCATACATGTTGTGTTAATATTAATTCTTCGTTACGGTGAGGATGTGTGTTTTCTAACTCGCGCTTTATTATACTGCTTGTATTTGATAAATATGGATCGGTTTCTTCGATTCGGCACTCACTTGCGCTTGGTCATTAGCGAGCAGAAAATTATTGTAATCTGTTTGCTAATGAGTCTAGTATAATTTTTTGGTAGCCTCTCGGGGAGAAGAGAGGCTCAAAACAGTCATATTTATTAGTTATATACGTACGCACACACAAACACACACACACATACATATATATATATATATATATATATATATATATGTGTGTGTGTATATACATGTATATATATAGTGTGGGTGTTTCATGGTGTAGTGGTTAAACTCACGGACTCGTATGGACGAGGTGGTGAGTTTGAACCATGCTCTAGACAATCTGCATCGTGCAGTAGCGATGTCCATTTCAAACTTCATCCACTTAAAAATGAAGATCAAATCGGACTATCTTAAAGCTAATATTTAAGAGCTAAAACTTTCAGAGATTTTTTTTATTATATTGAAAGCAATCGAGCCCCTGGCAACAAAAAATCAAAAATATCCATATTAAGGACCACCCTAATATATATATATATATATATATATATATATTTTTGAATAGTCTTGAATTTGATGTTGATATATATGTTTAATTTGAGTTTAATATTCGGGCGTAACATCAATAAAAATAGTATGAGTTTTTTTAAAAAAATTATTTATTTAAAATCCATACGTTTCGGCTAGCATCTTAGCCATCATTCAGTGGTAATCAAGTTAAAATTTTGTATCCTAATATAGCATATGAAACCATTATTAATCCATGGTATGAGTATGTGCACATTGATAAGATATGTATTTTTTAACACAAACATCACAAATGGTAAAACACACTAATAATCATGATAACTTGACAAGTTGTCGAAACTATGTATTTACTCTTCGGAGTTTAGGATAGAAAATTTTCTATCCTAAACTCCGAAGAGTAAATACATAGTTTCGACAACTTGTCAAGTTATCATGATTATTAGTGTGTTTTACCATTTGTGATGTTTGTGTTAAAAAATACATATCTTATCAATGTGCACATACTCATACCATGGATTAATAATAGTTTCATATGCTATATTAGGATACAAAATTTTAACTTGATTACCACTGAATGATGGCTAAGATGCTAGCCGAAACGTATGGATTTTAAATAAATAAATTTTTTAAAAAAACTCATACTATTTTTATTGATGTTACGCCCGAATATTAAACTCAAATTAAACATATATATATATATATATATATATATATATATATATATATATATATACAGGTATCATCTGCGTAACACGTACTTCTATAACACGGATTCGCTCTAACAGGATTTAAGAATTGATACCATCCCCCTTATAACACGGTACTTCTATAACACTGATTTGCTTTAATACGGTTTAAGAATTGATACCATCCCCCTTATAACACGGTACTTTTATAACACGGATTTGCTCTAACGCGGTTTAAGAATTGATACCATCCCCCTTATAACACGGTGCTTCTATAACACGGATTCGCTCTAACACGTTTTAAGAATTGATACCATCCGCCTTATAACACGGTACTTCTATAACACGGATTCGCTCTAACACGGTTTAAGAATTGATACCATTCCCCTTATAACACGGTACTTCTATAACACGGATTCCCTCTAACACGTTTTAAGAATTGATACCATCCCCCTTATAACACGATACTTCTAAGATACGGTTTTAGAATTGATACCACCCTTCTTATAACACGGTATTTTTATAGCAGGATTTTGCTCTATACGATTTCAAAATTGAGCAAAACCCTAATAAAATAAAAAATATAATGGAATCTATTAAAATCAAACTTTATTTAATCTAAGATTAGTAAAATCACAGTATAATAGCTCAATAAATGTGTGAAACTAATGCAAAACATAACTAATATTTGATACTTATTATTCGAGTGCGTACGTTTTATAGATAAATTCTAGGCTTACCCGAACAATTAATGATTTAGTCTTAAACAAAGATCCTTTAAATAAAATGAGCTTAAAATTTCAATAAAGTTAACTTTGCGTATGTTATGTAATATATAAATATCTTTCCGCTAAAAGCAACCGATTGCAAATATTTTTTTTTTGCAAAAAATAACGCACGGATCTGAAGGTAGTACAGAAAACTTAGAGGATGAGGATATCTTGCAAAAAAGGATCGTTTTAGATAATGTATATTACATTTTTAAAAAATTAATAAATATAACAATATTTATTATAAAATCATGATTTGTAGCAAGTTATTTTGAATTCTTGGAACGTTATCTCTCTTTTTGTACTAGTTCTTTGTCCCGTATAACACGGATTCGCATAACACCATACTTTTTTGAAACGTAACTACCGTGTTATGCGGGGGTTACCTGTATATATATATATATATATATATATATATATATATATACATATTAAAAAAAGTTCTTTAGGCACATAAGATTTTTGGATTCTAGGGACCAAATTAAGATACTTTGCTGAAGAAACCATACCTATTGGAATAAATTTTGATGTCTTGTGCATTGACCCAAAGATTCGGGTCAAATTTTGAAAAATTCCTTTTGACCCATTTAGAGTGTCACAATCGTGTCCAAATGTATTACTGACCCCTACCAATTTTGTAAGGCCGATCCACCCATGTCCATGGTTCACCCCCTGGGACCTCTCCTGAGACGTCCCTCATACAAAAGTTGACACCAGAATTTATTTTAGAGGTATGGTTTCTTCAGCAAAGTATCTTATTTTGATCCCTAGTATCCGAAAATCATATGTGCCTAACATTAAGTGACTTTTAAATCGATTCGCCCTAATATATATATATATATATATATATATATATATATATATATATATACACCTAAGTCTGTTTTTACACAGTCTTTTTGTACACGGTTTTGATATAACACGGTTTTAAAATTGAATATTTTTAATTTTTTTACACGATTTTATTCCATTTAGCACGATTTGAAATTTTATGTACTTTATTTTTTTTTGTCAAATTCAATCTTTGCGAAGTATGTTCATATCACAAAAAAGTATTTATGAAAGAAAAAAGTCTGAAACCATCGATAGTATCGATAGTTTGCGAACACTAGCTTAAAGATTTAAGTGAATTCCCCTTTAGCGCGTACAAACAATTTTTACTGGTCAAAGCGAATGCGAATAACTGATGACGACAGCAATTAAATTTATGTTGTTATATTTATGATTATCACTTATTCTATTTTATTTCATTTTTTACCTTAAAAATTGAATAATCTATTCTTTTCGTTCACAACATAGTTTTTTAGTTCCTGAACTTGCAATACATTTAATTTATATTACTTTTAAGATGAGAGTGCATATCTTTTTTATCATTAATTACTATGCTTGTGAAAATAAGCATTATATATTTGATTTAATAAAATAAACATGAATTCTTGTTCTTGAAAATTCTTGTTTTTCACTAATTTTAATAGGTTTTAGAGATTAGGAACAAATCACCCATTTTTGTATAAGATCAATGTCTTTTTTTACACGTTTTTTTTACACGGCTTCTTCTGGAACCAATCTACCGTGTAAAAACAGACTTAGGTGAATATATATATATATATATATATATATACATATATATATATATATATATTAGGGTGGTCCTTAAAATAGTCATTTTCGAATTTCCTTGCTCCCAGGGGCTCAAATGGTTCCAAATAGATAAAAAACAATTCTCTTAAAATTTTAGCTCTTAATATCAACGTTTAGATAGAGCGCAATTCAATCAAAGTTTTGTATGGAAATAGCATGGAAAATTTTTCAAAAATTTTAAAAATGTTTTTTAAATGTAATTTAGCGAACAAATGAATGAATAAAACTCATTCATTTGTCGCTAAGTTATACCTAAAACATTTTTTTTTAATTTTCAAAAATTTTTCCATGCTCTTTCCATACAAACTTTGATTGAATTGCGCTCTATCTAAACATTAATATTAAGAGCTAAAACTTTCAGAGAATTGTTTTTTATCAATTTGGAACCATTTGTGCCCCTGGGAGCAAGGAAATTCGAAAATGACCATTTTAAGGACCACCCTAATATATATATATATATATATATATATATATATATATATATATATTGAATTTGAACATTTATTCTTTGTCTCGCGGCGCGCAATAACGCGATTAAAACAATATCGCGTATCACTACCGTCGCTTACGGTTCCATGAACTTTCTTAATAAAAATAAGAACAAAAGCAAAAATCCAACAAAAGCAATAATTTCTAAGGCGGCAATAAGTGTATCACTGTTATATAGCCCCCTTATTGTGCCTGTTACTGTTATTTTGTTGTGTTGCGATTTTTGCGAAACAATCGGACTGAGTATCTCACGAAAGAGAATCTATTGCAATCGTAGTATCGTGTCAAGGTTAGAATTAGAATAACGAAATAATGCATCTGAGGAAAGCAGCCGGCGTGAATCCTTTTAGTTTCGATAGGTAAAAGACTTCGACTTGTTACTTTAGGAATAAAGGTGAGACCAGGAGTAATTCGAATAATTCGTTCCAGGGTTTGCCTTCTATAAAGCAACATCAAAGTTTAAATATTTAAGAATATGTGCACCAAAGGATTTTTCAAAATCTAAATTATTTCCGGTGATATAGCTGTTTGACCACGATAATCCTTCTCATCTTCCGCAAAACTTTAAAGGCGTTTTCCTTATACTAATCCCAAAAAGCATTTTAAAATAGCATCGTGACAATTTTAAAATCTAAATTGGTTATTTTCACGTGTCGGGTAGTTTATGCTACTTACTTAGCTCAAAATGCCACTTACACATAGTGTTCAGAATTTTTTTGAATTATTTTTATTGTTATTAGTATTAAGATTTAATTTTTTAATTATTTTTTGATCATTGAATTAATTACTTTGAGTGAGCATCAGGATGCACGTGCAGATAAGATAATTTTTCCATAGCTTAAGTAAGTATGTATCCCTTCCGATTATTGTTATATTATCAATTTAATTTCAATAGTACAGTACAGAAAAACTGATTATGGTGAATGTTTATTATACATATTTATTCTTGTAATAAACCCACGTACCCTTCCAATGAAATGCGGGTACGTTAATGCAAATACGGATTATAGAAAAATCCCCATTTTGTAATAGGATTAACATATATTTGTAAAATGCTCCTTCTACTTAATTGTATTTCAATTTTATGTAATAATTTAAAATATATAAGTAAGTATTCATTTAATCGCGATACTAAGCAGATGTTAAGAAACCTAGCGAGTATTAGTTACTCAATCATTTTAATAAACTTTTTAAATTTCTATGTGCATTGTCCTCTTTTCACCTTCTAATGATTACAGTGCACATCAGTTTTTAAAAGTGTAGTAATTAATTTTCTTCAAAGTGATAACAGCAAAGGCATCATTAAGGTGTGTTTCGACGCCTTAACACATAGCCCATTTATTATTCAAATCATTCACATGATTTAAATAATAAATATAGTTAGATGTACATAAATTTTGGTTACGCCATAAAATTTTATAATAATCAGTCCATCCTTGCATTGAAACATAATTCGTATATCTAGCAATTAAAGTCAAACGTTTGGTAAACGAAAAACAAAATCATAGTCCCACTTTGTTTGAAAACGAAGCTTTTAAGTGCAACCTAGAGCTTTGGTGAAATTGTAACCATTGTCAATTAAAGAATTGTTTTAGTTTTCAAAAAAAATTCAAAACTTTTTTCAAAACTTTAATTTCTGGGGCGGCAATTTGCCTTAAGGGGGTATTCTAGTGTAGAAATTAAAAAAAAAAATCGTTTTTTTTTAATTTCATATTTTCAAAGTTTAACTATCTAAGAATATGGGTACAAGAAGGTTTTTGAAAACTTGAATTAGTTTCGGAGATATAGGCATTTTACTGACTCGGTCTCCATACTGGTTTGGCTTCACGCAAAACTTTAAATGCGTTTTTCTCAGAACAGACTTTTTCAGTACTGTTGACACGATTTCTCGAGTTTTAATCGACCGATTCACTTGAAATGTTCAGAGAGTCTTGCTTATAGACCTATCTATAGCCCGAACTAGGATTATCTCCAAATTCCAATTTTTACTATTTTTAAAAAATTCGAGAAACTCAAAAAAACAGTAAAAAAAACACTTTTTTCAAACAGTCGCCAATTTGTAAAAAAAATCTTTTTACTTATCGCTAGTTCGGGCGATTGCGACATCATTGTAGATTAATAATCTTTTTATTCTTTGCATTTCCGATGGCTAGGAGGGCTGAAATCATGTCCAGACTGAGGTGCCAATTTTTTGAGACCACCCATTTCATCATATTCTGCCAGTTTTTACAATTTTCAATTTTTTTATTTTTCAATTTTTGTTTTGTATTTTAATAATATTAATAAACAAGTGGTAAAAATATGGATAGCAAAAACATGCATTGCTTTCTTTTACGACACTTTAAAAATGACCTAAAATACATCGCTCTACACTAGAATAGCCCCTAAGACCCGATGCCATGTATTACTAGTTTGTCATCATACCTTTGGTTTTCCGCACGGGTCTTCCAAATCACATTGTGATCTGAGGAAGACTTCTAACAATCCCATGAAGAGCATAAATGCGGAACCCCCGCAAGTCGAGGCTAACGTTGGACCCACCGGTGGCCCCATTGGGCAGTTGCACGCCGACATCTTTCACGTTGTTCAACAATCTGCAATAAAAAAAATCATTAATAATAATTGTTTAAGTGACAATTTTGCATTGAAATTGCCTAAATAATACATGTCCAGAATATTTTTTGTGGAATGTATATGAACTATGAGATAATTTTCAATATTCATCATATTGCGTCACAAAAACTAACTTAGTAGGAAAAATACGGACAAAATGACACAGTGGCTGGCCTTATTTAAACAATAGATTGGTCACAATCCTGTCAGATGTTGAACGTCATTGTCACAGTTTTATCGAACTAATAAGTTCAGACGTGTATCGCGTCTTCAACAGCTTATTTATCTATGTTCAAAAGTTTATTTTGATGGGTTTTCTGTCATGTTTTTAAGGACATTGTTATTGTTATTTGTAATTGTTTTTATTAAAATCAATAAACGTATGCCAGTACAAAAGTTTTTGATCAATTTTATTGCGATAATCAGATGTCTGATGGCATTTTGATTAATTATTTATTCTAGTTCATTTTCGGACAAATTTACATTTACAACAAAGTGATATAGTAATAGTTTGTATAAACTACAGGCTAGTTTAGAAAAAAGTAAATTGAAACTTGTAAAAGGTGTTTGACTTTTAACTTCTACTTTTAACTATGTTTAAAAACACTTTTTTATCCTGCCTTTGTGAATCATTTATGGTCTTAGCATAATCAGTATAAGAAATTCAGAACAAAATAATATAGTATATGCGCTAAAAGAACAATATCACACTTGATTTTACCACACAACATAATTGCTTCAATAATTTAGTCTATAATTTTCATAATCTCGTACGATATATTAGTTGGTTTTTGGCAATTATAATTTCGAAAGTATATTTTTCTTACTAATAATTTAATAAACATTATGGTTTTATGTTCCAATCTTAGATGAATTAATTTATAAAATCTAGTTCATATGAGCACTCTTCAATCTATGATCAACTTGCTAAATATTCCTTATCCAATGCCAAACAAATGAATTTTTGGCACATGAAACAAAATCTAAATCATTTTTTTAATAAATAAAAATATTTTTGTATTATTAAATAATTTGGTAAAATAAACCTAAATGTGGCATGCATAAGTTTAAAAAAATAATGTATATGCAATTTTGGACTTATTGCGTTATTTATTAAACTGAATTATATAATTTCATCTGCCAACATATACTGTTGATTGTGTTTAGTATATTATTTTAATTTCTGGCACATCTCAGCTGCTTCTCGTAATAATAATGTAGAGATTACATTTTTCTTGTATATTATATTCTAATATTATCTAGGCTCATAATTTCAGCTAAATTCAAATTTCAAGTGAATTGACATTTCTAGCAGATGATAGTTCAAATGTTTTCAATGTCAAACAATAAGTGTTTTTTTGTAATTTTTGCGACTTATTTCTACGTATTACTATAGTTTTATCGTTCATTAAATCTTAAAAATTTCTTTTGACAAACTCTAAAAAGAATTATCAAAACCCGAATAACCGTTTAGGAGAGGTATGAAATCATCACCCGTACAGAAGAATTTTATATATAAGACTAGACAAACTGCCATTCAACTCCAACTCAAAATCCTAAACTTGTAGTTACTTTATATTGTTTTGTAAAAAAATGTATATTTACCTAATATATTATTTTAGATTGCTAGATATTTTTGTAAATTACAGTTAGTACACTAACAATCTACCAAATAGCACACTACCAGGTACGACACTAAAACTGGTTATTATAGACCCCATAAATTTTCAATTTTCTGTAAACACATTGTCATAAAAGTAAATAAATAGTCACACTGATAAACAAATAATAATATACTGGAAAATTTATGATCACAAATTGAATAAATAAATAATAATATACTAATAGATAACTTCTTTGCCTTGTCAAAACGATATTGCACCATCGCCATTCGCTTGCATCTAGTATTGATATTACGCTGTGTCTACATAATCAAATGAAAATTTTGCAAGTATTTGCAAAGATTTATTGTCTATGACAAACAGTAAATTATATTATAAACCGCGTTAAACAAAAAAAAACAAATATCGTTTCGCAAAACCGCACATAGGAAGGTGAACAAAAAATTCGGTAATAAATTATCTTAATGGCGAGAGGTCAGCGCACAATTTACGCAAGAGGTAATAAAACTACTAATTTGTTTCATATTTATTTAGAAGAAAATGTTGAAAACTGATAAATTTTCATAGATAAAAATCACAAGTATAAGATCCACAGCGACTGGTTCATATAGATCTAAATTTGTGGTTTGACTATTTAAATTTAATTTATGGTGTGCTCAATTATATTTTATGGCTCAATTATCTAAAACACGGTTTAGAATTAATTAAAAATTATATTTTTCAACTATTTAACTATTATTTCCTTATAGCAATTTAAACAAACTTCTTAAACACCAGGAATTGAAACGCTCCATATAACCAGAAGTATTTCAGAGTCAATTCAGATCAATTATTATCAAAATTTAAATTGTTTCCGGTAATTCAGTTTAATTGCTGATCATATATCATCAATATGAAGGACAAATATATGCGAATTTATAATATTTTAGTCTTGAAATTAAAATCGTTGCATGAAAATATTTTCGAACGTAAAATTCTGTCCATTTGAAGTTGTTTTACGAGCCAAGTACAAATGTAGATATGAAAATTGTCCTTACTGTGCGAGTTTATAATATTCTTTGAAGTTGTCAGAACTTTAGTCAATATTGTCATTTGTAATCTGTTTGTCTGCGAACCGATAAATATTAGAAAGCGAATAAACTGATCATGCGTCCATTTTCATCTCACAATAAACAAAGCATTTACATAAACTAGAACTTGGCAATGCCTCACAATATATCGTACAAATTATGACATTTTCTAAAAATATAACAGATCCGTTTTCGCAATGTTGAGATTTTTGCTAATAAATAGAATTAATTACAAAATAATAGTTGAACGGCCAGAATAAAGATTTTTATAATTGTTCTTCGCTTATTAAACCATATGTTTATAGATACTGCACTTCAGCCAAATACATTGTCAGGTGTCAGCTGTCTATTTTGATAATTTTGAATATCCTGTTTTTTTATATAATTGTGGTTTAAGTTTTTAGTCCATAATTAGGCACGTTCCAACATTATTTATAGAATGGTGATGTGGCCATCTCATTTACTACCAACTTGAGAACATTATACTTAAATTTACTAAATGAAATCGAAATTGCATTTTGACTTCCAATCTATTTTAGTGATAAATGTATTCGATTTACAATTACTGACACCCTCTTCCCCTTGGTGATTCATGGTGATATTCAAAATTACGTCCCCTCCCCCATCAAACATCACGTGTATTTTTAGTTACGAGAAAAAATTGTAAAGTTTTTGATTTTTTTTGCAAATGTTTGAATTAAAAAAAAATCAGGTAAAAAATAAATATGTGTCATATCTTAATAAACCCCCTCTACCGCACGTGATATTTTGTGATTTTTTATAAAACACACTCCTCCCTTTCCTTAAAAATCTCACGTGAAGAATGGACGCCCTCCAATCTGAAACTTTTGATAAAAATCGCACAAGATGTTTTATACGAAGCAGATTGTGATGAGAATTAGAGTCCATGGGGACTAATTTGCGAAAAATATTTAAAAACATTTCAGACTTTGTTCTAAATGGTTTTTGTTGTTCCTTTATCATGCCATTGGCAGGAATTTGTGCTCCAAATTGGTTCTTTATTGTTAGGAGCATTGCTGCCCTAAAGTCGAAACTTGATATAAGTTCATCTGAAGTAACTAATGGGTTACATTAATAAAATAGTTTCACATATAGCAGATGGATGAAATGCATAAAGTAGAGAATTTCATTTTCTAAGAAACGCTTAGAATGCTCTTCTAAGCGTATTATAATTGTTAGTGGTACGGATCGTTGCGTAAACCGAGTTACACATCAACGGATATAGCTTCTGATTTTGTATAAATTACTCTAAATACACACAGGCACACACATACATATATATATATATATATATATATATGTATGTGTGTGCCTGTGTGTATTTAGAGTAATTTATACAAAATCAGAAGCTATATCATATATTTAATTATAAATTACTGATATTTCAAGTCAAATCAAGTGATTCGAATCATTCGAATCAAGCCTTTAACAACCTGATCAGGCTGATTCAGTTTTTATTTCATTCGAATCAGCTCGTATCAAGCAAAATGTTTTTTGAATCATTCAAATCGGATGCTTCGTTCTTTCGAAAACTGCCATTTTTTTCACATTTAGATCCTTATCTCTGAAACGGATATACCTGTTTTTGCCAGAAACTAATCACCACTTTTCCTCATCATTAAAAATTGAATGTTCCTTGAATCATTCTAATCGAATGTTTGATTCTCGCAAAAACCGAGTTCCCATTTTTTGCATTTTTTGCTTCGTATCTCCGAAACGGCTGGACCGATCTTTCCCAAAAACTAATCAGCATTAATTTCCATCAGTAGAAATCGATTGGTTTTTCAATTATTTAAATTGGTTGAGCAGTCCTCCCGAAAACGTCGACGAAAAATTGTATCCTCACATACCTACGAACACACACACATTCATTTTGTCTGAGGTTTGCCGAAGTGTTAAAAACCATCAAAACATGAAGATATGAAATAATTTTTAACTTCCCGTAGGGCAAGTTATAGTAATCGCAAAAAAATCGAAAATGAAAATTTTTATATATCTTTACGTTTCAGAGGTTTCTGAATATTTTGGCATACCTTAGAAAAAATGGATGTATGTGTGTGTGTGTGTGTGTGTATGTGTATGTGTGTGTGTATGTATGTACGTGTGTGTATGTATGTGCGGATACAAATTTTCGTCGACGATTTCGGGAACACTGATCAACCGATTTGAATAATTCAAAAAACATTCGATTCGTATTGATAAGGAGACGTGCTGATTAGTTTTTGGCAAAGGCAGGTCTAGCCGTTCC